GGCTGGGCCCTGGTTCGGAGCCGGTACCGGGAGGACACGGCCCGAGGGGTGGAGCTGCTCTCCGGTGAGGGGCGGGGCTAACGGGGGGCGGGGCTGGGCCCTGGTTCGGAGCCGGTACCGGGAGGACACGGCCCGAGGGGGGGAGCTGCTCTCCGGTGAGGGGCGGGGCTAACGGGGGGCGGGGCTGGGCCCTGGTTCGGAGCCGGTACCGGGAGGACACGGCCCGAGGGGGGGAGCTGCTCTCCGGTGAGGGGCGGGGCTAACGGGGGGCGGGGCTGGGCCCTGGTTCGGAGCCGGTACCGGGAGGACACGGCCCGAGGGGGGGAGCTGCTCTCCGGTGAGGGGCGGGGCTAACGGGGGGCGGGGCTGGGCCCTGGTTCGGAGCCGGTACCGGGAGGACACGGCCCGAGGGGGGGAGCTGCTCTCCGGTGAGGGGCGGGGCTAACGGGGGGCGGGGCTGGGCCCTGGTTCGGAGCCGGTACCGGGAGGACACGGCCCGAGGGGGGGAGCTGCTCTCCGGTGAGGGGCGGGGCTAACGGGGGGCGGGGCTGGGCCCTGGTTCGGAGCCGGTACCGGGAGGACACGGCCCGAGGGGGGGAGCTGCTCTCCGGTGAGGGGCGGGGCTAACGGGGGGCGGGGCTGGGCCCTGGTTCGGAGCCGGTACCGGGAGGACACGGCCCGAGGGGGGGAGCTGCTCTCCGGTGAGGGGCGGGGCTAACGGGGGGCGGGGCTGGGCCCTGGTTCGGAGCCGGTACCGGGAGGACACGGCCCGAGGGGGGGAGCTGCTCTCCGGTGAGGGGCGGGGCTAACGGGGGGCGGGGCTGGGCCCTGGTTCGGAGCCGGTACCGGGAGGACACGGCCCGAGGGGGGGAGCTGCTCTCCGGTGAGGGGCGGGGCTAACGGGGGGCGGGGCTGGGCCCTGGTTCGGAGCCGGTACCGGGAGGACACGGCCCGAGGGGGGGAGCTGCTCTCCGGTGAGGGGCGGGGCTAACGGGGGGCGGGGCTGGGCCCTGGTTCGGAGCCGGTACCGGGAGGACACGGCCCGAGGGGGGGAGCTGCTCTCCGGTGAGGGGCGGGGCTAACGGGGGGCGGGGCTGGGCCCTGGTTCGGAGCCGGTACCGGGAGGACACGGCCCGAGGGGGGGAGCTGCTCTCCGGTGAGGGGCGGGGCTAACGGGGGGCGGGGCTGGGCCCTGGTTCGGAGCCGGTACCGGGAGGACACGGCCCGAGGGGGGGAGCTGCTCTCCGGTGAGGGGCGGGGCTAACGGGGGGCGGGGCTGGGCCCTGGTTCGGAGCCGGTACCGGGAGGACACGGCCCGAGGGGGGGAGCTGCTCTCCGGTGAGGGGCGGGGCTAACGGGGGGCGGGGCTGGGCCCTGGTTCGGAGCCGGTACCGGGAGGACACGGCCCGAGGGGGGGAGCTGCTCTCCGGTGAGGGGCGGGGCTAACGGGGGGCGGGGCTGGGCCCTGGTTCGGAGCCGGTACCGGGAGGACACGGCCCGAGGGGGGGAGCTGCTCTCCGGTGAGGGGCGGGGCTAACGGGGGGCGGGGCTGGGCCCTGGTTCGGAGCCGGTACCGGGAGGACACGGCCCGAGGGGGGGAGCTGCTCTCCGGTGAGGGGCGGGGCTAACGGGGGGCGGGGCTGGGCCCTGGTTCGGAGCCGGTACCGGGAGGACACGGCCCGAGGGGGGGAGCTGCTCTCCGGTGAGGGGCGGGGCTAACGGGGGGCGGGGCTGGGCCCTGGTTCGGAGCCGGTACCGGGAGGACACGGCCCGAGGGGGGGAGCTGCTCTCCGGTGAGGGGCGGGGCTAACGGGGGGCGGGGCTGGGCCCTGGTTCGGAGCCGGTACCGGGAGGACACGGCCCGAGGGGGGGAGCTGCTCTCCGGTGAGGGGCGGGGCTAACGGGGGGCGGGGCTGGGCCCTGGTTCGGAGCCGGTACCGGGAGGACACGGCCCGAGGGGGGGAGCTGCTCTCCGGTGAGGGGCGGGGCTAACGGGGGGCGGGGCTGGGCCCTGGTTCGGAGCCGGTACCGGGAGGACACGGCCCGAGGGGGGGAGCTGCTCTCCGGTGAGGGGCGGGGCTAACGGGGGGCGGGGCTGGGCCCTGGTTCGGAGCCGGTACCGGGAGGACACGGCCCGAGGGGGGGAGCTGCTCTCCGGTGAGGGGCGGGGCTAACGGGGGGCGGGGCTGGGCCCTGGTTCGGAGCCGGTACCGGGAGGACACGGCCCGAGGGGGGGAGCTGCTCTCCGGTGAGGGGCGGGGCTAACGGGGGGCGGGGCTGGGCCCTGGTTCGGAGCCGGTACCGGGAGGACACGGCCCGAGGGGGGGAGCTGCTCTCCGGTGAGGGGCGGGGCTAACGGGGGGCGGGGCTGGGCCCTGGTTCGGAGCCGGTACCGGGAGGACACGGCCCGAGGGGGGGAGCTGCTCTCCGGTGAGGGGCGGGGCTAACGGGGGGCGGGGCTGGGCCCTGGTTCGGAGCCGGTACCGGGAGGACACGGCCCGAGGGGGGGAGCTGCTCTCCGGTGAGGGGCGGGGCTAACGGGGGGCGGGGCTGGGCCCTGGTTCGGAGCCGGTACCGGGAGGACACGGCCCGAGGGGGGGAGCTGCTCTCCGGTGAGGGGCGGGGCTAACGGGGGGCGGGGCTGGGCCCTGGTTCGGAGCCGGTACCGGGAGGACACGGCCCGAGGGGGGGAGCTGCTCTCCGGTGAGGGGCGGGGCTAACGGGGGGCGGGGCTGGGCCCTGGTTCGGAGCCGGTACCGGGAGGACACGGCCCGAGGGGGGGAGCTGCTCTCCGGTGAGGGGCGGGGCTAACGGGGGGCGGGGCTGGGCCCTGGTTCGGAGCCGGTACCGGGAGGACACGGCCCGAGGG